CACAACCTGAAGCTGCATGGCGTTTATTTGGTTTCTCTATTAGTGAGATGTATCCAAGCGTCTATCATCTTCAGCTACATCTTAAAGGGCAACAATGTGTTTCTTTTAAAGGCACTATAGATATAAACACAATCGTTAATAATCCAATGATTAAGAAAACAATGTTTGACAGAATTTTTTCAGATGAACAGAAGTAACAAAGATGCAATAAAGCTTAACTTAATGTACAAAGAATTTCCTCAACATTTTGTATGGTCAACAACATACAAACATGGACACGGCGACAACAACGTTGCGTAGTTGGTCGTATCGCAACGTGTCACCCAACTAAAGGACTACGATATTATCTGAGACTACTATTGCTGAACGTGAGGGGACCGAAATCATATAAATATCTACGAACTATAAATGGGGAACATTATAATCCTTTTAGAGAATCTGCAGAAAAAGGGGACTATTACACTGTGATAACAGTTTAATTGATTGCATGTCAGAGGCATCAAGTTATCAAATGCCATATAGTTTAAGGTCAAATGAATATGCCAATTCTTCGGCACATAAAGGTCAATTTTCCCCTTTCTTTGGTTCTTCTTCTGTTTTCTTGTGGATTTTTTAAAATCCCAATTTATGTTTTGTAGGATTCCATCGGGTATTGAAAATTAAATACAAAAAAAAAACATATTATGGACAACAATTCTATTAAACTATATAAATGCTTTTTTTAATAGAAGATTTTGGACTAATTTAAATTACTCATAGCATGGGTAAATATAATTCGACAAATGATGATAAAACGTAAAACTCGAAGGATTGAGTATTCTAAATCAGTGATGAATTAGCCTAAATGAGGCAATTGACACGAGATCAATATTATGTGATTACAGATTCATCGGAGGAAGTTGTACGTTTGCTCGAGGTGAAGCATTTGGTAATTCGGCACGAGATTGTGAGTAGTAATCTTACCGCAATTTGTGTTTTCATAACCTTCATGGTTTTGAAAATAAAATATTTACTGAATGTTTGAAATTGCATGTGGGACAAGTCATTTACTTGATATGGTACTGAATAGTTTACTTGAGAGGTTTACAGTTATTTAAAATGTTCTCAATGTTACTAGACATGTTTTACTGGTATTTGAGATATGATTACCGTTACCGAAATCGGATTACATGATTTGATAAGAATTGAAATGCCATGTACTATTTTGAAAATGATTTCATGTGAATATTTATTGTTACAAAGAAAAGTATAAATGGGAGGAGACTTTGAAGGATCCCGTAGGTAACGGCGGGTTCATTAGACCCGGTGAACCTTGTATTTACCGATTTCAGAGTACAGTTATAGCCCTCTAGTGGGAAGGTAGAACTAGCATACAGTTACAGCTTTTCCCTCGAGTAGGGACCTACAGTTATATTTGATTCCTTTTACGAAGGGGTCCACACAGTGATACATGATCCTTACTTGGAAACCTCCTAAACATAAAGATTTGCTATGAGACAGTGTTAACCGAGTTTATTACCGATTTGTTAATTTGATTTATGTTACAAGAAACACATGAATAGACTGATTAAATTTATTATTTTAGAAAGGGCATTCTTATGATATTTTTTGACTAATATACTAGCATGTTTTCTGACTTGTCCCCAATAAAAACGGTTGTGGTTAAGTGTTATTACTCACTGAGCTAGCGACTCACTCCCCGATATTTTTTTTTATAGAGACAACAATTGACGCAGGTAAGGATTTGTTAACTAGAGCGCACATGGTGATAGTCATTGGTGGGCCTCACACTTGTTCGCGTGGGCGAAAATTTTATTTATTTTTATGGTTTTTTCTTGATTTTCTTAGAGTCTCTCCATAGTCATTCTTTTAGTGTTGTGAGTATTCTTCGTTATTATAGACTTATGATGAGTATTGCACTTTCTTATCAAATTTGGAGATAAATTAGGAGTCTGGTTGTTAGTGGGTTGATTATTAATGGTGGAGACTTGTTTTGGTTAATTGATAAGTTGTTGGTTGGTTAGTTTGATATTAGGATGGTTGGTTGTTGATTTTGAGACACACAACTATTTTTGGATAGTCCTAAAAAAGGGGAAACTCTATCCGATTTTCTGTAAAATATCGATGAGGCTTACTTGGGGGCACTTGCTCCTAGGCGCCGGTCATGATCCTAAATTGGGTCGTGACAAAGTTGGTATCAGGCCTAGGTTATTCTTGTGACTAATGGAGCACACGTCGGTAGTAGAATCTCAATTATGGTTATGTAGCCGGCCTTTCCCCATAATCATGATTATGCGAAGGCGTGATAGGATGTGTCTTGTCTTTCTTTCTTATTCCTCCGTACGTGTATGGCGATTAGGGTCAAATAACTGAATCTGTCATTGTTATCATTTTCCTGTATGACTCGGACCGATCACCTGATAATAGAATTCTACTAGAGGTTCAAAGACATCAAATACTGGCACTAGGAAGGCAACCGTCTCCCGGCAAAGAAAAGCAACAGAAGTAGTAGACAAGGCCAATAAAAGGGGCGTTGTTCCATATGAGAGTCTTACCTCTAAGATGGGTAATATAGTTCATTCCTGAAGTTAGTATGAGTTCACTATTATACCAATAGTAGAGTGGTATCACAAAGGTTCTTACCTTCGTGCAAGGGGAAATTGAGATCTCGATGGATACAATTGATAGACAAGAAAAGAATGGGAAACAACAAAGGGCCCCAGAATCCTCAAATATTTAGATTAAGTCTGGCATCAAGATAGTTTCTCTAATGTAGTTTCTAAAATTGAAAGCACAAAGTTTACCATTTTTATTAACGGTGAGGATCCTCAGAGGTTCTTGTCAATGTGGAAATACTTGAGGCATTATGAGCTCTAAGATGTTAAAACGAGAAGTCTGTGGAGCTAGCAACTTGCACATTGGACAGTATGATAATGTACTGACTACACAACTGATTTGAGAATGAGTTCACTAAATTATCTTGAAAAGTCAAAAGAATGAGTAGTTAAGAGAAGATTCAGAAGATAGAGGTACTAACATATAATACCTGATTTCTCAGTTAGATAGATACACATCAACTCATATTTAAAGACTAACATAAGGAAATGCTTAACCTTCTAGACATGGTTGTAACCCCATATATGGATAATATGACCTATTTTGTAAGCTTGTTAGAAAGATTGAAAATATGGACATGATAGGCATACCACTAAAGTTTGATGGGAGAAGAACAAGACTTGCCAATTTTCCGACGCGCATTTAACTGGTCGTCGAAAAACTTTGGTATGTGAGACATTGAATGATCTTTTTGGGTTGTTGCTTATGTGGGAGAATAGGAGTTAATTAAATATGTTTAACAAGTTTGTCTTCAAGTTGAGAATAGAGATATCTTAGTTGACTTGATATTACTTAATGTGGTCTATTTAACACATTGACGTGTACATACTTGTTATCTTCCTGCCAAGCTATCCTCAATTGTTAGGAAAGATAATTAAGTTTGAGATATCGAATTAACCCTATTTTATTTTAAAAGTGGGTCAAGTTCCAAAGATTGGTAAAGTCATCTCTTTTATGAAAGCTCAAGGATTACTAAAGAAAGATTATTTCGGTCCCTTGGCAATGATGAGGGACACAAGAGAGTAAACACTTAGTTTTGAAAAAGTACTCACGGTGAGAATCCTCCAATATATTTCCTTGAGAATTTACCAAGACGATCGCCAATACAAGAAATAGATTTCGGTGTTGATTTAGTGCCTGACATGCAGCCCATAGTGATACCCCCATATAGTGTGGCACTAGTAGAATTGCTAGAGGTAAAAGTGAGGGATTGCGTATAGGTGCTCCTAACACGCAGCGAAAAACAATAACAATCCTAGGCAGATCTTTTCGTATTTAAAATTTATTTACATGTCAATAGATCGTATCTAAGACGTACCTGGTGAAGCAAGTCTCGTTTCAAAATTTCTTCGATAGTGCGAAGACTCTATGCGTATCCACACCGAGATCAATCCTTGCTATCAACTCTTTGATCAATGAAACTCGCGAACAAATTGAACGAAAGACTTGTGCTGAAATTTTTCTCAAAAATCTCAACTCAAATTAGAAGAACAAGAAACACTTTTCTTGTAATTGTATTTTCTCTCTTGGCTTTGTATTGCACTCTCACTCTCATAAAGTGATTTTCTTCTCAAGAAATGATAATTCGGCAAATTTTCTCCATCACCTACAAAGCCTTTCCTTTTTGGTTGAGGTAATAATTTACTTAGGGTAAAAGTTTATTTCAAAATAAACTTTGTAAAACTTTTCCGTTGAAAAGTTGACCGTCGTGGCTAGTCCTTTTCATGGACTCTCCAATTCTAATCCAATTGAAAATCTTGAAAATTGAATTCAACTTATCAATATTTTTCAATTAATAAATTTAACTCCCATATCAAATGGGTTAAAAGTTGCCGACAAGTCCATATGGACTTTCACGTAAATTTCCAATTCAAAATTGGATTTACTAACAAGACTTTATTAATATTTCATATATCATCTCTTATATAAAATAAGTGCTAATTATATATATCACATATATATTTTAACCAAGAGATATAATTTAATTTTCTATTCCAAATAGAAAACTTCAATTTGTTCACAATATTAATTATATCTTCTGTGCTAGCAAAGAATATAATAATATTTCATTTGGACTAATAACTAAATTTGTTTGACTAATTAAATTTTTTAATTTAATTTCCAAACAATAAAATAATTAATCCTTTAGCAAAGATCAGAACACTCGTCAGTGTGCGACCCCATAGGTTCAATACTAAGCCGGTAGTAAATTGACCACATCAATATACTAATCAAGGGTGGCGTCTAGCAACACTCCTTAACGACCGGATAGCATGAAGTATACAATTTACTCTCAAGAACCCGTAGAAGAATAATATAGTAAGTATACAACACTTCTTAACGACCGGAATAGAAAAAAGAAGAACCAGTTTAAATACTTCAACATGTGGAGTATGATTCCTGAATTCCAACAAAGAGTTCAGCAAGAGTGGAAGAAGGAAATACAAGGCACAAGGATGTATCAACTAGTAGGGAAGCTCAACAGAACAAAGGGGGTGTTGCTGAAACTAAATAAAGAAAGATTCTCAGATGTAGAAAAGAGAGAAGAAGAAGCAATGGAGCAACTGACAGAATGTCAAAGGAAGATCCAAAAGGACCCCAGGAATAGAGACCTAATTGATGGAGAAATTCAATTAATGAAAGAAAGTGCTAGATGGAAGACATCTAGAGAACAGTTCCTGAGGCAGAGAAGTAAAGTGCAGTGGATAAAGCAAGGAGACCAAAACACAAAATACTTTCACACAGTAATCAAAGCTAGAAGGAATGCTAACAGGATATTCACTATCAAGGATGCTGAAGGGAATGAGGAAAAAGGGATTGAAAGCAAAGGCATTCACAGACTTTTATACAAAGCTACTAGGTGAAAAGAAAGGTAATAGAAAGCATGTATGCAGCAGCTTAGTAAAGAAAGGGCCAGTAGTACAGAAGGAGCAAAGAGCACTCCTTAAAGCAGCAATCACAGATAAGGAGATCAAAGAAGCACTCTGGGAAATAGGAGGTGATAAAGCACCAGGACCAGATGGATATGTGGCTCAATTCTTTAAAGATTGCTGGTCAGTAGTTCAAAAGGATGTGGTGGACAGTGTAAAGGAGTTATTTGATACCACAAGAATGTTAAAGAGTATTAATAGAACTGTTCTAACATTGATTCCTAAGAATAACCATGCAGGCAGTGTAGGAGATTATACATCAATTGCATGCTGCAACACAATCTACAAGATCATCTCAAAGGTGTTGTGCAACAAACTCAAAGGAGTGCTTCCAACTATAATATCAGAGAATCAGAGTGCCTTTGTGGAGGGCAGAAATATAGTACAGAACATCCTGATATGTTCATGATCTAGTCAAGCTCTATAACAGGAAGAACAAAAAGCTGCCTAATAAAGATTGATCTCAAAAAAGCTTATGATACTGTGGAGTGGGGGTTTGTGGAAGAGATGCTCTATGCTTTAAACTTCCCTACAAAATTCATTAAGTGGACAAAGGAATGCATGACAACCACTCAGTATTCAATTGCTATAAATGGTGAGGTACATGGATGTATAGAGGGGAAAAGGGACCTAAGACAAGGTGACCCAATATCACCACTCCTCTTTGTGATCTGCATGGAGTATTTTACTAGAATTATGCAATGGGTAGCAACACATGAGGGATTTGCCTTCCACACAAAGTGTAAAAGCCTAAAGCTGAATCACCTATGCTTTGCAGATGATGTTCTGATGTTCTGCAAAGGGGATTACCACAGCATCATGTTATTGTTGAGGGGATTGCAAACATTCACTAATGCTTCTGGTCTGAGTACAAATGCAGGGAAATCAAACATATATAGTGCAAACATGGACAAACAATGCCTGGAGAACATATGTGAAATAACAGGATACAAGGAAGGGGTTATGCCATTCAGATACCTAGGAGTTCCTATAGCTGCAAGGAAATTAATTGTTGGTGGAGAGACTAAGCACAAGAATTCACTCATGGGGATCAAGGTGTCTGTCATATGCAGGAAGAGTGCAATTAATAAATTCTGTGCTGATTAATATACACTCATACTGGGCATCAATTTTCATCCTTCCTAAGAAAGTGCTTAGAGATATCACATCCATATGCAGAAACTACTTATGGGCAGGGAAGAGTGTATCAACAAAGGTACCACTTGTGGCTTGGGACCTTGTCTGCAGGCCAAAGAAGGAAGAGGGACTGGGTATAAGGGAATGTATCACATGGAATGAAGCTATAGTGGCCAAATATGTATGGAATATTGCTAACAAGGAAGAAACCTTATGGGTGAAATGGATTAACCATATATACTTAAAGGGAGAAGACTGGTGGCAACATAGACCCCCTACAGATAGTTGCTGGTACTGGAGGAAAATTTGTGCAATCAGGGATGTATATGGTAATGGTTACATAGAAAATGGATAGCAATCAAGGACAGGGAAATACACAATCAAAAAGGGCTACAACTGGAGAAGAGGAAAGCTAGAGCAATGGCCTTGGTGCAGAGAAGTCTGGAATAGAATGAATGTCCCTAAACACAGTTTTATTAACTGGCTAGTGATGAGAAAGAGATTGTTAACAAAGGAGAAAACAATGAAGCTGAACATCACAGAAGACAATGAATGCATGCTATGTGAAGGAAAACCAGAATCCATTGACCACCTTTTTTTTATTGCACATACTCTAGAATGTACTTGACTGAAGTATTGCAATGGCTGGGGATGAACATACAAAACACTGAGGTAACAGGAATAGGGAGAAGGATGGCTAGAATTGCAAAAGGTAAAGCGGGAAGATCATTCACAAAAGCAGCTTTGGCAGCAGTTATATACTACATATGGAAAGCTAGGAATGAAGCATTATGGAGGAAAAGAGTACCTCGACCACAAGTGCTGTTAAAACAGATTCAACTTGCTTGCAAACACAGATGCATGGAGGCAATGAAGAAGAAGGAAAACAACGACAACCTGTACTGGATAGAACAGTTATACAGATAGCAAAAATAGGTCTCTTGTATAATGAAAATGTAACTGTATAGAACAAAGTGTAGGCAGGACTCAGGAAAGATAGGGGACTTGAAATTGTAACTGTATTTTTGGGATGATTAAATAAAATTTTTATTTCTACCAAAAAAAAAGAATAATGTAGTAATTTCTTCTGTCCTTATAGCTCTGGATCACCCTAGGATATGGTTCAACTGTCAAATCCTAATAGGCGACCAACTATGTGTTCATGTCAAATCAACTCGGCCATTGGATGACCTAAGAAACTCTTTTCTTCTTTCATTCAATTGCCCTGGCCAAGGTCTTAGTTTGGTCGTTTATAATTCATGACAACATGGAGCTTAAACTCATTACCAACAGTTGACAGATTCCATCTTGATCAATCACTAATTCTACAAGTATTTAATCGTACCCAATATCCTTTCAACTATCGCCCTAGGGCCATAGGTGTCTGGTATCAAAGCACAATAAATAACTTGTCAATTACTATGACGATCTCAGGTCAAAGGAAATTCTTACATTACATTCTTCAAGAGAATATCCTATTGATAGTTTATGGTAATTCTAACCATTAGGAATTATCCAATGAGTTGGTTCAATGATCATATCTCTATATGCATCATCTATCTATGTGATTCAGTTAATGAGATCAACTAATCTTTATCCTATAAAGACAATTACATAAATATTGATCTAACAGGATTACTAATGTCCAAATTAATAATCCTACGATCAAGAACAAATTTAGATTAAATTGTAAGAGACTTTGATCTCATTATCATGATCTCTATCACGATGACAAATCTCAAAATTTAATCAAGGACCTTATCAGCTTTATTCAAACGATTAATAATAACTATGATAAAAGAATGCCATATATTTTTATATCATAACGTTCACAAAATATGTTCAAATCATCAAACATGAGATTGGATCCGGGGCATATCTATTATATCCCTAACAAAAAGAACAATTACTAGATTTATTAGATAAGAGTTTTTTTTTTAAATCGAGTTTATTACCAATGGGTGCACCGATATTGTTTGTATAGAAGAAGAAAAAAATGACTCCATACAATGTGCATTGACTGCAAGTACCGAATAAGATAATAATACATAATGAATGCCCATAATTTCATATAGAAGACATGTTTAATTAGTTATAATGAGCTGCTCGATCGCTTTGTAAGATTGCTCGTTGCTTCCGGTTATTATAAACTCAGAAACGGAAAGCAAGATATTCCTAAGAGAACCTTCAGGACTCGCCACTGTATTACGCATTCTTACGATGCTTCAGACTGATAAATTTTCCAGCCGCACTCATGGACTTAATGAACAAGGTGTTAAATTTGTTTATGCACAGACATGTCGATGTATTTATAGATAATATTTCAGTATGTTCTAATACCTAAGAAGAATATGAGGATCATTTGAGAATAGTGTTGCAACCACAGAAATCGACATATTGTAAAGTCTTCAAAAATAATTTTTGCTAGACTTTGTAGCATTCCTCAAGGATGTTGTATCAAGGAATGAGATATTGGTGGATCCTAGCATTTCAGCAATATCCAAGACCCATTATTCCTATAGAGCATTGTAACTTCTTGGGTTAGGTAGGCGATTTTAGGAGTTTGGTGCATGATTTCTCTAAAAAGCTTCGCTAACCAAGCTGACATAGAAGAACACGAAGTTTCAGCAGTCGGAGAAAAGTGTATAGATGCCTTCGTAAGCTCAAGACATATTTGATCAACACACCAATGTAAGCATTATCACCAGATTTCAGAGAGATTTGAATATTTGGTAAAGGTGGTGACTGGAACTACTCATGGACTATAATTGTACTATTCTCTATCATCCTCGAAAGATATTTGTTGTGGTTGATGCGTTGAGTAAAATATTCATGGGTAGTTTGATATATAACTCCTGCAAAGAGACTTTTGAAAAAAGAATGCAAAGACTAGAAGGTGCAAGTATTATAGTATTTATTATGAAAAATTCAGAGGCATTGTTGGCTGATATTCAATCCAAGATTTTATTATTTGGATTGAATGTAAGGAGATTAGTGGAGCAGTATAGGGAGAGGAAGAAGGGCTTGCATATGGTGTTTATTGACCTTGAGAAAGCATACGATAAAATCCCGAGGGAGGTCCTGTGGAGGTGTTTGGAGGCTAGCGGCGTTCCGGTAACGTACATTATGGTGATTAAAGATATGTATAACGATGCTAAGACTCGGGTGAGGATCATGGGTGGTGACTCGGAGCATTTCCCTGTGGTGATGGGGTTGCACCAGGGATCGGCTCTTAGCCCGTTTTTATTTGCCTTAGCGATGGATGTATTGTCGTGACACATCCAATGAGAGGTGCCTTGGTGCATGCTATTTGTCGATGATATAGTGTTGATTGACGAGATGCGAAGCGGAGTTAATGCGAGGTTGGAGGTTTGGAGACAGACCTTGGAGTCTAAAGGTTTCAAATGGAGTAGAACCAAAACAGAATACTTGGAGTGCAAATTCTGTGATGAGACCCATGAAGCAGACGTAGAGGTAAAGCTTGATGCTCAAGTTATCCCTAAGAGAGCGAGTTTTAAGTATCTCGGGTCTATTATCCAATGTAACGGGGAGATTGGTGAAGATTTCGCACATCGCATCGGAGCAGGATGGATGAAGTGGAGGCTCGCTTTCGGTGTTTTATGTAATAAGAATGTGCCGCCAAGACTTAAGGGTAAGTTTTATAGAGTGGTGGTTCGACCGGCTATGCTGTATGGGGCGGAGAGTTGGCTAGTCAAGAACTCCGACGTGCAGAAGATGAAAGTAGCAGAGATGAGGATGTTGAGATGGATGTGTGGGTGTACCAGGAGATATAAGATCAAGAATGAAGTTATCCGAGATAGAGTAGGAGTAGCTTCCTTGGAGGAAAAGAGGCGGGAGTCGAGGCTGAGATGATTCGGACATGTTAAGAGAAGGAGCATTGATGCTCCTGTTCGGAGGTGTGAGAGGTTGGCCATGGCGAGTTTGAGAAGAGATTGAGGTAGGCCTAAGAAGTACTGGGGAGAGGTGATTAGACAGGACATGGCTCTGCTTCAGCTCATAGGAGGGTGTGGAGGTCGAGGATTAAAGTAGAAGGTTAGTGGGTAGTTTTTAGTTGCTCACCGATAGTCTTATTAGCACGCATGTCCCTTCATATTCTTAGATTTTTATTACGTTATGTGATTTTGTTCGCCTCAGGTATTGTATTATCTGTTGCTATTATTTAATACTACTTATCTTTTATTTCTCCATTTTTCTTTTCTCTTCCCTCATTCTCCCTTTATTGCTTTCCTCTTCTTCTTATTACCCTTCCTGAGTCGAGGGTCTATTGGAAACAGCCTCTCTACCTGTTAGGTAGGGGTAAGGTTTGCGCATAGACTACCCTCCCCAGACCCCACCTGGTGGGAACATACTGGGTTTGTTATTGTTGTTGTTGTTGTTGTTGCACATATAAGGCTACTCAATACGAGGATGAGCGATTGCTCTAAGTACACGAGACTAGGTGTAACGACCCGACCGGTCATTTTGAGCTTTTGCATTTCGCTCGCCAGTTCTCGGGCATGACTAGCCCCGTGTGATGTATTATGACTTATGTAAATCGTCGGTTTTGGTTTTCAGAATAATCGGAATAAATTTGGAAGAACAGTTATCAGTTTGAAGCTTAAAATTTGAAAGGTTGACCAAGTTTTGACTTATTAGTATATGACCTCAGATTGGAATTTTTTTGATTTGGTTAGCTCTGTTAAGTGATTTGGGACTTAGGAGTGTGCTCGAAATGTGTTTTGGAGGTCCGGAGTAGATTTAGGCTTGAATTGGCGAAATTGGAATTTTGGCGAATTCCGGTTGATAGGTGAATTTTCATATAGCGGTCGGAATGGAATTCCGGAAGTTGGAGTAGGTTCGTTGTGTCATTTGTGACGTGTGTGCAAAATTTTAGGTCATTCGGACAAGGTTTGATAGACTTTTTGATCGAATTCGGAATTCGGAAGTTTTGGAATTCTTAGGCTTGAATC